ATTATGCAAAAACTACATGTTATTGCGATACATACTGGAATTATAGTGTGGCTATTCCCATTTGTTTATGTTGCGTTTTTTCAGATTTCAGATTTGTACACGAAAATCCAAATGATCCTTATCGGTTCGGAGTTCATCATGTATGATGTAATCAACTTTCAAGTGAAGGCTCTTTTTTTTCACCTGGATTCAAGTTAATCGGCTTCTTTATACGCAGCTCAAAATTTCTTAAAAAGCGTCGACTTCGATAATATTCTACACATCATAAATCTTGTATATTTAGTCTTGGCAGGAATGATTTTAGCAAAGAACGTTGCTGATTCCAACGAATTAACGAACATATTTCCGATACAAGTGAATGATTACTTGCAAGTATTTCACACGTTCTCCTGAATATTAGACTCACACAGCACTGAGCATAACTATTTTATATACTCTGACTTATTCAAAAATTCTCCCTCGATTCGGAAATGTGTAACGTGATATTGTATTAAAAATATGTATTTCATTAACTAATCACAGAAATGATTAAAATTCAATGCTAGATCATCGAACAAAAATTTGTTCCGGAAGAGAAAACGACACTTTGTCTCGAAGATAATTGTTATTGTTTGTCTATTTTCTCTGGCATCTTTTTCTACTATTCCTACGACTACTAATAATTAAGTATATATTCGAGCATTTTTTACACATCATGTAATAGGAAAAAATAATGCTAAATAATGCTTCAAGATTTCAGGATATGGTTAATTTCCTCCGCTAAACGTGATCGTACAATCGAAAAATTAGAAAAAGCATGGTTTTGGAGTTCGGTTCTTCAAAAAACCTGTGAAAGCTTAGGGTTTTTGAGATTCCTTTTGAGATTTCCTATCAACAGGATTAAGAATAGCTTAAATACTGCACATTCTGAAATCTTGAAGTCATCTTGATGTTTACTGAGTGATTAGAGCATTTTTTAATATTAGGTGAAAACAGTCTAAAAATGGAAATTTTCGTAAAACTCGCTTTTCGGTAGACTTTTAAAACTTTTCTAGAAACAAATATTGCCACGAGAAGCAGCGCGGGCGATTACGCATGCTTCATCCGTCTTGAAGCCTACCAATCGTCATTGGGTGCCAGTCCTGGGATTCGTAGGAAATCCGATACAACGCCCAAAGCGCGGAAAATCAAGGTCTCACTTGACTCTCAATTTGACACCGTGGGCTATCAGTCTGTGAAAACAAATCAATACAATCCTATTGGAAAATTTTTACACACGAGCTAGTTTCCCAAAGATCCCCCCGAAAATCTGTTTCAGAAAGCTCGTCTGAGAAAAATTTCGGTTATGAAAACATGTCCCCAAGCCTCCTCTTTCGAATGGTGAAAATTGAAGCTCTTTAACTTTTTCCTATCAAAAGTTATTCAAAAAATAGTCATATACCATTCTTTTTTTGGATGGACAATAGTACGTTTACTACATCAGGTTCATTACATTCAGTATTTTTAAGCAGCACACATTGCCTGAATGAGATTGTCCGTAGTCAAGGAGATTTTCAACGAAATACTGATAACTTAACAGTCCGTTTTCGACTCAAGGATGATAGAACATCAGTCTGCATAATTCAGCATATTTTGGTTTTGTCCGCATAAAACAGTATATTTCGAAATGAAGGTGTTCAATAAATTGATGAATCTATCATATATGGGGATTGATCATATTGGAAAAAATTGGGTCATATTCAACATTAAATGAAACATGTTTTCTGCAATATTCCACTTTAATTGAATGTACATAATATTAAAAATAAGGTCTCTTTCGTTCCTCTATTGTTCTCAATAATAATTTCAAAAGATCTCACCGTTGCTGTTCTGAAGGTATGAAAAACCAAAGACTTCTGATATGAAAGATAAGAAATTAAGAAATTAATTATTGTGTCACGCGTGGTGACGATGCAAATAACTAAGAGTGATGACATGAATTTACTCCATGTCAGCACGTGAAAGTGTTTCACCTGTGTTCACGAGTTAACATATGAAAAAGTAGTGATTTATATCGTTAACACTATAAAAATGTGGTTACACTCGTGGTCACACAAAAGGATAATACCTCACGAATGTGTCAATATGAAAAATTGTTTTCTACGCTCGTTCACGAATCAACAAAATGTTTCACGTGTGAACATGTAGAATCTTTTCCTGCCCACGCCTGTGTGCGTACATAAAATTATCTTCCACACGTGTTCGCTCGTAGAATTCTCAAAAACAAGATTATTTTGCCTTGTATGTCAACCTTAGAAATAAATGGAAACATAAATCGTTAACGATGTTGGATCTAGTGGCAGTATTTCGATCTTTTGATAATAAACGGAGGGCAGATTTTGACTGAAATCCGACAAGGTCGTTTAACTGAATCATCATCATTATTACAAATCATCTGACCAACATTTAATATTGATTTTGTTAACTATGTCTTGCTATAAAAATCTTGTTCATTTGTTGGCAAGTTTTATGTATCTTTGTCCAAAAAGTGGAAAAAAAGTTGTAGTAAAAAATAACAAATGAATAATCAAATCAAACACGCATACATGAAACATGAGAAAGTGAGAATTTGAAATTTATTTGTTCCACAGACAAAAAAATTTTTATGAAAAAAAATACACGAAAAAGTTAAGTTTTGTACATATTATTCATTTAATATCATCCGTCATGATTATTAACTGAAATAAACGCACATAAAAACAAAATAGAGAAAGTAAACAAATAGAGGAAATGATTATGATAACAAAATTGCACAAAAAAAGAGAATTATATGATGCATTGCTAATTTCATGGAATGAGATCAAATTGTTTTCTTCCTGAAATAACACCTGAAGTTAAATAACATCAGACATAAATGGACGGTATAATGTCTTATCATATAAACTTAAACAAATGCATTTTTATGAATTTAGAAAGAACAGTTCTTTTCTTTGTTTTAGGACAGATTGAATAACAACAAAAAATAAACGCCCAGGTGAACGTGCAAAGAAGACTACGCGCTACTAAAGGCACACCAGGATAATTTATATTGCTTACATGTACATGAAGCCAACAAGAGAAATTATAATTATGTTTTTGTACGAATGATTACTAATAATACCAATTATTTGTATAAAAGAAAAGAACAGTATAATAACACACATCTGAGATCAAAAAAAAAAGAAGAGTACATGAAGACTGAAAGAACGTCAGAATATCTCGAAATATGAATAGACAATGGTTGCTATTATTAATGTAAACGATTTTGATTCGTTTTTGCTGTTAATATACGATCGATCATACTTTTAGCATATTTAACACGTGTATATAATTGTTTTGTACAGCCATAACGTTCTAATAATTGTAAACGATAAGTACGTATTTCTCGATGTTCATTAATATATGTTACGGCACTCATCAATGGACATAGAACAACTTTTGTATGATCTTGAAAGAAATTGATCTAAACGAAACAAAGAAAATGAGTTAATTTGACAGAATTATTACAACAAACGGAAGCAGCATATTAAATTGATCAATAAATTAAAAAGATTCTATAGTTTAGTGTACGGGAAGAAGAGAGGATGCCTTGATAATCCTCTGAAAGAACGAAAAACTAGTTCAGGTAGATATAGGACGGAAAAAAGCGAAATCCTTAAAAATATTTGTTCAAGTTTAATTAGCAGTTTTTAAATTCACAATCATGCCACAGTAGCTGACGTAGGGATAACCTTCTACCAGTTTTAGGCTCGTCTGTAGGTTAAAAGACGGGCGAAATCCTCTGCACATGACGTCTAAAAGTTCGTGATAAACTTAGGCTACATAAGGCGATTTGTAGAAATCCATTCTCATTAAAAATATAATCTTACTTGTAATGTCCCATTTGAAAGATAAAATACAATTGCATTTCGAGTTCGAAACCACGTCTTAACAAATGGTAATCGTGACAATTCATCACCTGGTCGTGGTGCATGCGATGCTCCGGCCTAAATCAAATATAGAGAATTGTACTAAATGTGAATCAGCACAATAAGCACGCTCTCTGTTTACTTTGAGTAGATGTTCATCCATATAAGATGTGAAATATTTGAGTAATGTCACTTTCTTTTTTAACATATCCGAATAATCTTTCATCGTACACAAATGTTCAACGCCATCACGATCAATATACTGTAAATTTTCAGCACCGCCAGCTGTCATAATTAAACGTGTTAAATCATTAAATAGAACACCCACTGAATCATCACACAATTGATAACCAAGACCATATTTATCCGAATAATCGACCCATTTTGATATCCATAACATGGGTGCTGATGCTGGATCTTCAGCTTCATCTAATGAAAACAAAAAATATGATTAAGTTCATTTGTGAGTACTGGAAGCATATTCTCTAAACCTTCTCGTTTTGCTTGTAATTCATTTGGTTTTGTTTCAATTAAATGATTCAATTGTCGCTGAAGATCAATAGCCAGATTGAGATCATCATTAATTTCTTCGTTCATCGGATGAGCATAGGCACCATCTAAACCTGTTAATTGTCTTGTCATTTGATTTGATAATGCAATATCTGTTTGATTTGGTACTTGTCTCAAATTAACACCACAAGGTCCATGAATATCATTTAGACCTTCGGTCATGACTATCGGCGTCGGCATTGTCTGTAATTGTTGATGTCGAGATGCAATCATTGCTTGTTCATTTTGTTGTTGCTCTGTAAATGGTCGACGTTGTTGTTGTTGTTGTTGCTGTATTTGAGTTATTGATGGCTGATGATTACTGACAACAGTAGGTAATGTACTATAACGTGGTGCAACAGTACAAACACTTGTTGGTAATGTTTGCGGAGTAAAACCCGCAAAAAACTGATCGATATATATTTGTGACATTGTTGGACGATCAAATGGTTCTGGGCGAAGGCAACGTTGAATTAGAGCAACAGCTTCACGTTGTATTTTATTTTCTGGTATGGTATAATCATTTTTACGAATTTTTGAATACGTATCTTTTAACGATGATGTTTCAAATGGGGGTTTACCAAGAAGTAAGGTATATCTGAAATATGCATAGTAAAAATGGATGTCATCAAATAGAATACTCATTACAAATACGTACAAAATACATCCCAATGACCATACATCAACTTGATATGAATGACCTAGAAAGAAGAGAAAATTCTGTTTTTTTTATTTCCATTAAAAAGAAGCAGCTTACCTTTTTTATTGATGACTTCAGGTGCAATATAATTTGGTGTTCCACATAATGTTCTAAAAAAACAACTCATTATTCGTTGAACAAAAATAATTTTGTTTTTCCATTTTATATTTTACCGTTTACGATCACTTTCACTTTCAATACGTGTGGCTAAACCAAAATCACCAATTTTTACTTCCATCTGATCATTTAAAAATAAATTGCCTAATTTTAAATCCCGATGTATAATACGTTTATCATGTAAATAAATACATGCTTCAACAATTTGTTTAACAAAATAACGTGTTTCGGGTTCAGTAATAGTTTTTCGTCGCCGATGCATTTCCATCAAAGACTAGTAAAATAAAAAGAAAGACATTCATTAGGTCATTTTTATTGCGCAAAAATGGAGAGAGATAGCAACAGAATTTTCGACAGTTGAGACCTTCCTTCTAGACTAAGTCGAATCACACGCATTTCGAACACATTATCCTAGACCATATATTGTATTGCTTACAAACACGTCAAACTTCTTGAATCTCTGACTTAGTTTAACTACACAAATAGTTTATTTTATTTATTTTTGACACGCACACATACGAAATGTTTATACATCTTTTTGCTAAGATTGCTGCTGGCAGTTTTAATCTTACTAACAAGAGAACATTCCCAGTGATCCATCTTATCTAGAGTTATTTTTTATGTTAATCATGAATCCGATAATTATTTCGGTCTATACACCTTTCTTGTGTAGACTTAAAGAAAATTGGATTCATTATCACCTGGTTTTAAAACATATGGGATTGTCTACGTGTAACATTTTTAGGAAGTTCTCTCTGAATTATTGAAAAACTGTAGATTAATTATTCATAAAAGCCGTAGGCATGAACATTCATTTTGTTTTAAAATTTTTATAATTCTATAAGAATTTGTTTGGTAGTTTTCGAGCATTATAGAAGGCTGATCTGTGGAAACAACAATAAACGACTCTAAAAGAACGTATATACAACCAGGATTCATCCTGTTTATAAAGACAGAATATTGAGAATGAATTGATAAGACTATTGAGAAGTCGAAAGAAAGTTTGTTAGTACTAGGATAGCAATAATAGTAAGTCAACTAAACGATCAGTTATACTGAAATCTTATCATTTATCGTTTATTTTGATTGCATTAATAGTCGAAGATATTCGTACTATGTACAGATAGTTATCATAATTGAATAAAGAATCACATTCTTGCATGTATATGTTTTTAAAACGGGTGCATTATTTTAAAAACAAAATTTTATCGTTATTATGGTAATACGATGTGTATTCTATATGACAATATTTCTTGAAAATTTTGTCTCAACAAAAATCTATATCAAAAGTAGTTCTTGTTGGCCATCATTAGGTGATCCCTGTCAAGGACCAACTACATGTTGTTCATCGTATAAATCTCCAAACAATGTTATTATTCTATTGGACAAAGTTCTATGTTTTTCTGGTCGTTGTTGTTTACCATTAGATGCCAAAGGATGTTATCTGGATCAAGATTGTTGTCCCCACATGGTAAATAAAAATTACGCACTTGATAGAACTATGTTTTTGTACATCATTTTTTTTTTCAAATAGAATAAACGTATAATCAGATGTGCAAAATATGCCACAACAAATACCCCAATAGAATTTGGCATATGTCAAGAGGAACCATACTTTGAAACATTCGAGTCATACTGTACAATTCTTGGTGAACCATGTGCATCAAAAAAGTGCGTGTATATGATAAATGTTTTTCATCTTACTATGAATAATATTACTTTAGATGTTGTACACAAAATCGAAATATATATGGTTTATTATATCCAATTAAAGTACAATGTAGGAACTATGGTGGTGCTGATACATGTTGTATTAAAACATTTACCGTTGGATGTGTTACTGATGCTCAATGTTGTGGTAAAAGTACAGTTTGTAAACGATATGCAACAACATATGATACAACTACAGAATTTGGAAAATGTGTTTCCACCATAAATTTTATTAGAAAAAATGAAAAAGAAACAGTAGAAAAACATCGACAACGTGGAACTCCTTACAATTCTGAGGAACAGCGAGAACGGGAAGATGAAGATCCGAATGATGAGAAAAAAACGCGTAAAAATTCTTTAACATTAATTAAAATCTAAATGGGTTGATGGATAACAGTTTTACACCCTTTTTCTCTCGATACAGTAGCAATATGTACTCATCATATGTCTACCATGTACAAATGTATTTTTAATGTAAAACGTGATTAATTAATAAAAATAAGCTGAAAATTTACCAAACCATTCAGGTGATTAAGAGAAAAAGTACAAGTTCTCTTCAAATGTCATCAAAAATAAAATATTGCTCAGTAATGACAGATCATTGAATTCAAATAACTGTTTTATTTTCATTTTAGACGTTTTCAAACAAACGTCTGTTTTTGTGCATGATTCAATTATTGACAATTATTCTCTTCTCAGTTGTACAAATCACTCACTACCCTCTCTACTCAAATAAAATAAAGTATGTTATGTTGCTCTCTCCAAGATAAATAAATTGGTTTTCAAATCTAAATAATGTTATAATTTGTCAATGTTAAATAAAACATTTTTTACATCTTCAATTTAACCATGGTTTCATACATTAGAAGATAAATACTATTCGTTATGTCCTTCTAATTAAATTAGTAAAGAGGAAAAAAATATTTTGCTTTCCTTCTTTCACTTAGAATATTCATTACCAAATAAAAAATTCAAATATAAAAAGCAATGTGAAAAACAATCAAGATCAAATGAAACTTATAATTTTTTCACTATTATTACTATTTCTAATATTATCTTTTAGCAAAGTTTATTTTGTTGATAGTAAAGAACGTGTTGTACAAGCGCAAACAATCGATAATGAACTTGAGAAAACAAGATCTCATATTCAGCAACGAAGTGTTCAAAATGACCAAAGAAAATCAATTAAGAATGGTAATAATAATAGTAATCAAAATAAACAAGATGAAACAACTAATGAATCTGATAAAACCGACACAACAACTACTATTAACGATAAATTGAATATATCTGGTAGAAGTAACTTTACATATAGAAAAGTTGTTGATTTAACCGATTGTACTAAATCGCTGGGAATGAGTTGTACAAAAAAAGGAGAATGTTGTAAAATTCATTTATCATCACCACATATATTTATGGAAATTCCAAAAATGGATTGTGATGGTCAACCACAAATATGTTGTATACCACCTAAAAGTTACGGTTGTATTCGACACAGTGATTGTTGTCATTCAGGCGTAGCTCCATCGGTGAGATAAAACATTATTTTATATAAGACTAAATTATCTATTGTGGTGTAAAAATACTTAATTTTAGCCGATAACTATTGTTGAAAAATATTCTAAATGTGTTAAAGCTTTAGATCATAATACAGGTTCGTTATATAAAAAAAGAAGAATTCAATCAATTTAATTTAATATAATTATTTTCTTTAAGTTACTTATTTTGGTCGATGTGATCTAATCACAACTAAAAATCCAAGAATAGTGGGGTCAAATACTGAAGGATCAAGATGTGCAAAATTAAGCGAAAAATGTCGTTTTAGATCAACAAAGTAAATTATTAATGTTCCATCTACTTTCATTGTTACTAATAAACATTAAAAAATTTAATTCAGTAATCCATCTCATGATTGCTGTCAATATACAGAACGTTTTGATGGTCAAGTAAATGAACAGATACAACCGGATTGTAAACCTTTAGGTAATTAAAACAAAAAATATTCTGATTTTCTCTTGTTTTTTTTTACTCTCTCCCTCAATAGGTCTACAACTTCATACCGTTTGTTGTATAAAACCAGATTTTAGTGGTTGTATATCAGATATGGACTGCTGTCAACATACGACAAATGAATTTCGTCGATTTCAACCGATTTGTTTATTTAAAGCCGATATGAAAGGACGTATTGGTGGCTTTGGAAAATGTCGCGATCCAAATTTAATCGGAGAAGAAAATTATAAAGTGATGCAACAACGACTCTTCTATCGTCTTGTACATGCACGCGGTCTCACATATAAAGAACGACAAAAATTACTACCATTACAACAAGAAAATATTAAAAAATTAAAATAAATAACTTACACGTCTTCGACATAATTCAAGAATAATATAAACATTATTTTCATCTTCAAAATAAGCAATGAATTGAACAATATGTTTATGTGATAGACTCTGATGAATTGTTACTTCTTGAGTCATCTAAAGAGAAGAAGAAAAAGTGAATAGATTATGTACTCTATTTTTGTTTTTATGAGAGATATACTTTTTCACGTTGATGTGGTTTGACTAACATTGATTTTGGTACAACTTTTCCAGCAAATGATAGTCCAGATGATAAATCAACTAATTCGTAACAACGTGCAAATCCACCCTAAAAATAAATCAGTTTGTTTAAGTCATATCTTCATTTTGAACATTCCATCTTATACTCAACCGTTTTTCTGTAAAATTTGGCTATACGTGCATTGACGTTTAGGATCTGTTTTTTTTCTGCACGACTAAGTCATTGTGTTTGTGGCTACAATTTTACGTACTTTTCCAAGAAATTTTCCTTTGGCATATTGTATTCGTGATTTTGGATCAATAATAACACTTGGAATATTAAATTCATCTTTGGTCACTTCCATGTTTGACCGAATCTTATTGTTCTTTCTATTATTATTTCTAATCGATCGAAATCTATAAGATATCTAAAATAAACATACCATGAAATGTATACATCATTCAAACACAAATACTGTTTTTCTGACGCATAATGGATATGACTCACTTCACTATTCACATCAACAATAACAGAAAGAAAAACTTTTAACAAGGATTTTGCTCATTTTCCAGATGTTCCATTTTATTACATACATACAGCTCGTTCATTAGAGTCCACTAGTTTTACTTCAATCACTAAAACTTTCATCCTAGAGGTAATTTTATGTATCCTATATGTTTCTGAGTTAAAGGATAGAAAATCTTTATGGGCGAGAAAATAGTCATCCAGAAGTTGCAATGTCATACAGCTTTCATGTTCTGAAACATGTCAATATATGCAGAACATTTAGTTTAATCAATCCTACAATTCTTATGTCGATCAGACGTTTTTTATCTGACTTTAGCTAAGATACACCATCAGAGGTGAAGAATTTATTAGAGGCTCTTAAACGCTGTCGTTTATTATTAAAAAGTCTTTTTGAAGAAGTGCGCTGCTTCTTCACAAAAAAAATGTTTTTTTTGCCTAAAAATCTGTTTATCAAAAAACTTGTGCGATATTATCTGTAATAGTGTGTTGGTCACTGTCGGTTCGATAATCCTTCCTTTGCCAACTCTACTTGTGCGCTTTTGAATGTTCGTTCGTTGACATTATAACGACTTTTTTGAAAGAACAAATGGTAAAAAAACCTTGATTCTTACAATGAAATTAACAGTAACTAGTCTGCTTTTTTATATAATTTAAACAGCATTAGAGTACTGTATAAAATAATCAACACATTTGTCAAATTAAAAATAATGTCTCACTGAACAGACATCGAGAGGTCTTCGACAGTATAATACGCAGAAAACGCAACCCTAGATAGGAAACCACAAATAACAAGTGACTCATTTGAGGACATACATCATTTGATTCATGTTCTTCATAATGAATATGAGTATGACATTATTCAATTCAAACAGATAAAAAGATCAAAAAAAGGGTTCTGTTTTACGCTTTACTGAGAAAAAAAAGCAGAGCGTATAGTGTACGCTTTGCTATCGCTGTGTTTTCTAATAGAACTTTTTTTATATTTAAGAGAAAATACGAAAAACTTTTTCAACTATTTTCTATTTTCTATTTTTCTTTCAACTGCTTTCTTTTTTAGATTTGAAACGTGTACGCTTTACGAAAAAAAACAGAGGGTACTCGTATGCTCAGCGAATAAATTCTGTTAGAAACACTGATTCAAGTGTGACAAACTTTTCACAGTAGTTTATGATAGTACAACGTTAGTATTTCAAAATATGTTAAAATCGACCTAATTCATTACGCGAAAATATTTCTGAGAGACTGGTAGAAAAAAGTCTAAAAAAGTTTCCAAGTTTGCATTGTGAATAAATTCAAAATACGCCAAGAGTATACTTAAGCTTAACTTTTACGTCCAGTGCAATCTAATTTTCTTCCAACCAGTCATTGTTCAAAACCGTATGAGTAGACACAATGGATATAGTTGTCATAAGTTTATGTATCTGATATGATTTGCTGGTATAAAAGCGAGTCAGCATGTTGGTGCGAACAGAGGACTGTCTCTTTAACGATGATGTTAGAAAACGAAATAAAATTCACAAAAATTATCAAATATATTAAAAATATTTATTAGTTCATGTAATTAATTTAATAAAACAAACAAATGTAATATATTTCATACTTAATAGACTTTATAAGTTCTCTCCAGGATCATGTTCGAACAGTAATTTAACAGCTACAATGAGAGCTTCACCAAAACTATCTTTCATCGAAGTAAAACAAAAATTTACTCCAGATAAAAGCTATTGTATATGACACGCAGCGCCATCTGTTCAACATTAGTATATGCGCATGATTATTCTCAGAATATGATAAATCGCGATGAACGAGTTTCAATGGATTAAAGGCTACTTCAACCTCGTTATACGTTGGAATATGCTTTTTTGTTCAGAAATGTAAAATTTGTTCTTTAAAGGGTTGGCCAGAATTACTGAAACGAATTGATAAACCACTATTTCGATTGTATAAGATGTAAGAAGTTTTATTTTATACAGAAAAGTACAGCAAAGATTCTTCTTTAAAATGCATATTTTAGTCGGCTTTCTAGCTCTAGTAGTAAGAAACTTCTTACAACACCCTATATAATTAAAATAGCGGTTTATAAATTCGTTTCAGTAATTCTGGTCCACCCTTTATGTTCACATGCGTTCGCATGATATCAATAAAATGTGACATAATAGTTTGACGTGTAAAGCGCAGTATAACGGCTAAACTAGATGAACTATTAAGACGTTCGAACTCGTTAGCCTTTAGAATAAGCGAAGCATTTTATAGCCTCTATTATAATTAAATGAGTTTAAACGTATTATCGTTAGAATGCGTTAAATATTCACACTGGTTCAAACCTATTAAGAATAACTCTTTCAACTGCAATTCGTTCATAGGTGGCGGAGCCTGTAGGCTGGGGTAGGCTTGAGCCTACCCCAGATTTGCTTATAAAAAATCTTTTTGTATTATTTTCGATACTAAAAAATCTTGAGTCTACCCTAGACCCAAATTCGTCCCACCGCTCATCAATTCGTTTGCATGCGTTAAGAAAATATACACGCACACGAAATTGAATCAGAATGCGTGGGAACCCGTTAAGTCTCTTAGAGTCATATTCAGCGTGATCCAACAAGTGTGTACATAAAAACAGTGAAATGATCGACTGGGCACATTCTACCCATGTCTCGTTTTTACGACGGTTTTCTTAAAAAAAATGAGACATGGCTAGTGTTTTGGTCCTGACTTACTCTTGCAATGATTTCTATATCCTATCAAATTCTCTATTTTTTCCTCTCACATTGAATGGCTAGTTCGAGACACAACAAGGTGAAAACTGCAAAGTAGGGAAAAAATGTGTTTGTCTGCGTATAAAAAGGGTATTTTATATTAGAATCATCAAAAGAACGGTTTCCTCTCTAAAAAGTCGTAAATTCGCGGATATCTGAGCTGGGGCAGTTTCTGCAAAATTTGAGCGAGCAATGGTATAGTACCCTAGTGAATGTACTCATGCGTGAGTACTCAAAAAATACTCTCCTAGAAAAACCGGACGAGTACTCATACATTTTGAGTAATCATTGAGTACTCATATGAGTACTCAGGAGTGAGTAATGAATACTGTGGGGACAACTTTCAGTACTCATGCTCGAGTATTGTTGAGTAAGCATATAACTTTTGGCAAAATACTCATGAGTATTATTCATCTGGTATTTTCATATAGAGGAGTGAAAGTTTCTTAGGCAGCCCGAGTTGGACTACAAGTCTATTCACAGACGAGTCCATCTCTGACTATATACAAAGAGAAAAATATCATATAAATATTCTATGTTTCTTTACTAAATCCTACGTTCTTTATATAGTATCATTTTTGCAAAACAAAATGCTGAATGAATATTTTCTGAGTACTCACTGAGTAAAAATACTCAAAGGTTGTTAGTAGAACTCATATGAGTACTCATGGACGAATTATGAGTACATTCACTAAGGTAGTGACATATTATAGGTTCGAAGCCTGATATTTTGAAATTTTCTTTGGCTCATTAGTGTTAAGAACTAATGAGAACTGCGCAGAGAATCATTTTGAGTTAAGTGGAGAAAAAGAATTTTTCGTATAAGAATTTCATAAGAAATTAATAAGGGCTCTTATCGCTTTCTTATGGAATTCTTACAAGATTCTCATTTTATTCTTATCTGGTTCTTATGAAATTCCTTCTGCTTTCGTGCCACTTCTTAGATAAGAATCAGATAAGATTCTTAACAAAAGCAGATAAGAAGCTGACATGATTCTTGTCGGATCCCTGTCAGATTCTTATATAAGATTCGACGACTAGGGCCATCAGATACAATCGTGCAATAAACTAACGGATCATCGTATCCAAGTCAGTTCAATCTCTCTAAAAGTAATGTAAAGCTCAACATTCCTTCATCCATACAATCCCATTACACAGAGACATCTTATATTTTTTTAATACGGGATCAATTACTATACTGTTAAAAATCTGTGCTCTTCTGTTCTTTGGAGAACATGGTAAAGAACACGAATGTGTTCTTTGAAAACTGAAAAACAGAATATATGTTCCTCAGCCTATTTGCACGTTTTTGTTCTTCAAAAAATTAGTTCTTAATTTTTATAGAGCAAAAAACGAATTCTTTTTCTTCTCACAATTTTTTTTCCCCAGCTTTCTGAAGAACGTAGATCCTATTCTTGTTTTTCAGAGAACGTAGGTTTTGTTCTTCAGCTTTCTGAAAAACAAAAATAAACATAAATCATATTTTTGTTCTTCAAACAACAAGAATCCACAGTCCATTAAAATATTTGTTTATGAAAATGCGTGTATCGGCGCAAATTGAGGAGAGGCGATGAATGCAATCATATGGTAATAATGACTGCCGCCTACAAACATACAGCACTAAACAAATAAACATTTTCTTTTGCGAGCTTTTTTTTTGCGTCCTTAGTTTTGTTAAAATCTTTTCTGTCAAATCATTGATGTTTGGATGATTATTCTTCTTTCAAATTCTATTCTATCGTAGTTTTATCTGTTTGTTTTCATTTGTGCTTAAGAGGAAATTTAGAAGCAAGAGAGGAGAGTCAGACTGTCAGGTGTAATTATGTTGTTTTAGTCTTCCAGTTTGACCTTCGGGCTTTGACAATTAGCTTTTTTAGGCTATAAGAGAGACTTCTGAGATTTCTCTTCTTTCGTGTGTGTTATCTATCTACCATTATTCTTAATTCTACATGTTTGTTCGTCTGCCACTTATGGCATTGTGATTTCTGCCTTTTTTATTGTCTCCTCAACCATGTAGTTGAGTTGATCTGCGGTTGATTACTTCATCGAAGATTATATTTTCTAAGTGGTACTAGCTAGTTCA